AAACACAATCTTCTCTACTCTGTGACATTTTACTTGAACAGCGTGTCCTAATTGTCCTACATCATGACATCACAAATGACGGATGAGAAGAGGAGAGAGGGGAAGTATGTGTTAGTGATGTTCTTTGAGCCTTGCTCAAGCTCCTTTGTGTTGATAAAGCAGAGAACCCCTACCCAGCCATTTCTAGTCTATAAGGACTGGGATGGAGTCTGTTCTTACCCAACCTGATTCTCATCATAGAAAATATTTTAAAATATAGCTAAATAACACTCCCCATGCTTCAGGGATCGTAGATGTGACTCTAAGTGATGAAAGGGAACATGGAAAACCCACGCCTTCTGATTTTTTAAGTTTCTGGCTCTCCCAGGCTCCTTTGGTTGCACTCTGCTTCTCAAGAGTAACAGCAGAAAGACCTTGCTCTTCCTCTTAAACTCTCAGAATCCTGCCATCTTCCCTCAAGCTCTGGCCTGACTTGTGGGAAGAGGAGCTGCCTTACCACTCACCCTTGAGCTAACCCTGGTTTCTTAGTTTCATTTTCCTAACCCTCCCAAGATTCTTTGCATGTTCAGAAGAAGTTATGCTCACCTCAACTCAGATGATTAAAAAAAGGGGCGGGGGATGGCAGGGAGGTGTTTTGATTTTAAGAGAAAGAAGACAGGAGAAGGACAAAAGGGAAGCAAAAGGATAGACAATTAAGAGGAACAAAGAATGAACAAGGTAGAGGTTCCAATTCACTTCTGAAATCAATGGAACCCTGAGGGGAGACTTCTAACTCTCTGTCTCTGTGTTCCTCTCTGGCAAGCCCATGTGCCCTGTGGCAAAAAAATAAATAAAAATTAAAATAAAATAAAATACATTTTTAAAAAATATTTTTTAATTAAAATTAAAAAAAAAAAACCTCACTGAGAGCCTATATCCACAAATGTAGAAAAGTGGAGAGAAAGGAAGAAAAGTAGGGGGGGGAGAGAGAAAAGGAAGGGCCAGTGTCATAGCCAAGTCAGTAAGGCAACTAGATCCTACATGGCTAAGATTTGAATCCCTACCCCAGTGACTTGAAAAAAACACGCCAGGTTCATGTGTGTGCCCCAAATCCCAATAAGATAGAGAAATGAAGGAGAAAGGATTGCAATGTGACCATGCCTCATTGGAGGTGTTTTCTTTCTCCTTTCTTTCTTTTCTTTCTTTCTTTCTTTCTTTCTCTTTCTCTTTCTCTTTCTCTCTCCATCTTTCTTGTGAGTGTATGTATCTTTTGGCAGAAGAAAGAAAGGGAGGAAGGAAGGGAGGGAGAAAGAAAAGAGATCATGCAAGTCCCACTCTATATGTTTCCCTCTGCTATTATCAAAGATTCCACATCTCAGTTTTGTCAAAACTGAAGCTATGAGGAGGAAGCAGAGGGTAAGCGGCTGATCCTTGAATAGTCTGTTCCCTTCTCTTGGAAGGTATTGATATGGCTCCTCTTAATATCCTTCTTCTGTTTCTTCCTCTGCACTTCTCCTGCTCTCTATGTGCTTCACATCACTGTAGGTTTGAGGATTTGTCAAACAGCCTTTGTAAGAGAAAAGGAAAACATGATAGGATGTTAAGCTAATGACACCATTTATAATGCCTGTTTAGTGAAGGAATTAAAGGAAATTACTTCCAAAATGACAAAACAGAGTTCACCTCCATACAACCTAAGCACATAATAAAAGCATTTATAATTCTTTTAAATTTATTCTGTTTTATGCAGAAGACAATTGTAAACTAAAGGAACAATTATGAGGTGAGCTGCAGTCCTACAATTGATGTCAACTACTCTTTGTATCCTTATTATTCATGTGTAATAATACCAACTTAGTTCAGAAGGATAATTGGGTTTTTAGGGCACGATCACGGTAATATATCATTTGTTTTTTATAAAGCATTCTTCCATAATAAACAAGACAGTATTATCTCACATGTGAAGGTAGAGAATAAGAGAAAAAACTTAATAAATTAAATGTGTGTGTACGTATACCTATACATCTACATATATATCCACACAATCATGCTTAGTAATTTTGAATAAATTGTGTGACTTGCCTAATCTTCCTGTTCATTTTCTTGTTTATAAAAATTGGAAAAATGTCCCCTATCTTGAATGCTATAAACTTTAAATGAAATATGTTTTAAAAAACAATTTTATAGTAACTTTCTGATACTTAAAACTGTTACTCGGAAGGGAATTAGACAAACCCCAATTCAAAAAATTTCAAACTCCTGTTCCTACTTGGGTATTTGTTCCTGCCTTCCAGCCTACCCTATACAGATTATGGTGCTCACATCTAAGCAGATGATCAACTTTTTACAAAATAATTACAGCCTGGATGTCTCAAGGTGCCCTGGTCTTCATGAGGACGGTGGTTCAGAATGAGATAGAATCTTCGTGCATGAAGGCCTTTGCTGTGAGGCCGAGGACATAGACAAGTAAACAAGTAGTTGCTAACACCACACCGTCCTCTGCATGAACCCGTTTGCCTGGCTGTACAGCCACCTTGCATTCCTCTTCTTCTGGTGACCATGTGTCTACTATGTGAACTTATCGCCTCACTGTGAAGCATCCACTAACAGCACCAAGAGAAACTCAATGCTCACCCCAGAGTCCTTGCTTAACATTGTTTCACAAAAAAAAAAAAAAAAAAAAAAAAAAAAAATTCACTTGAAATGCAAAATCTTTCCTAGTATTGATTTCCGAATAAATGTCCAATATGGATCCTTAGGTGAAGGTTAACATGGTCACATAATTTTTATCTATGTTTTTGTCAGAGAGCAGGGAAGTGAAATCCTCATATGATCACTTTCTAAAAGCCAGAAATTCCAAAAGGAGCCAAAACACTTCAGTGAAAATCTTCTTAACTTTCACAGCCTGACTTTGTAGTTTCCAGTTTAGCTGGAAAATTAGAGATGTCCATTTGCTTACCCTCCTTTCCAAGTAAGTTCAAAGTAATTTCTGTGAATTAGAGTCTGTTAACAGGAGTTCTCTAAGAAAGAATGTAATAAATTATACCCATGATGTTTATTTGTAATTTTCATTTCACATTTTTATTTTCATATTCTTCGTGTGTGTGTGTGTGTGTGTGTGTAAAGAACTTAAAACACTTGCAAATCAATCTAACATAGACAAATTTGGAAAAAAAGAAAACTAGAATTGACTCCTAGTAAAGAATCATTCAATAAAGAGAGTGGATAAGTAGCAGCCTTCTAGTTAGAAGTATTCAGCATTCCATGAGCATCATTTAATATGTATTTTAAAGAAAATGAGAAGTATTGGTCAATCAAAGAGTAAGTTAATTAGAGGTCAGTTAAGAGACCTACTATATGTGCTGTCTATGGATAATCTCAGGACGGCTCTTAAAGAACATTAAGAATGTACAGTCGATAATTTTCACATCATCTTTATCAACATCAATGTCTCAAGCAAGGTCAGAGCTGAAAATCTCCGATAAGGCTTTAAGCACTAATATTTCACAATGTCACTTGTAGTAAGATCCACGTGCTTAAGATAAGTCAAGTGCATGTGTGCTTACACAGCGCAGGAACACATCTCTCCAGAGATAAGATTCGAGTTTGCTTTTGAGTAGGACTGAACAACTTCTCAAAAATAACAGCAATGACAGGAACCAGCAGTTAGCATAATGGCTATGTCGCTGGACTCTCATATAGCTGACCACAGTTCAAGTCCCGGACCCGGTGGCTTAAACACATGCTGGGTGTGTGTGCTTGTGTGCCCAAGATCCCAAGAGAAGAATGGAGGAGAAGGGATTGCAGTGTGGCCATCCCCCCTGCGTGGTGATTTATCACTTCCTGTCTCTGTCTCTGTCTTTCTGGCGAGCACATGCGCCCTATAGCGAAAACCTCTTCAAAAAAAAAGAAAGAAAGAAAGAAAAAAATTTAAAAGAAAAAAATAATAGCAATGACAAACCTGTTCTTTGAATCTGTTCATGTACTTTGGAAAGTACTAGAATATGACCCCATAATTCTGAGCCTTGAAACATAGATGTTCTCATTCTGAAAAATCCAACGGTCCTAAGGGTATATGTGTTCCATTCTGCTCCCCCTCAACCCTGCATGATCCCTTTAGACTCTACAATGTCTTCTGAATAGAAAGATCTTCGTTCTAAGGAAGGATGGTCTTGCAGTATATAACTCAAATATGTTTAGGTCAAATACAGTGTGAATCATGTTCAGACTTCAGAAAATTGCTCTCCAGGGGACCAGCAGTTAGCATAATGGCTATGTCGCTGGACTCCCACGTAGTCAACAGTGGTTCGAGTCCTGCACCCAGTGGCTTAAACTCACGCTGGGCGCGTGTGCGTGCGTGCGTGCTCAAGATCCCGAGAGGAGAATGGAGAAGAAAGGATTGCGGCATGGCCATCCCCCCTTGGAGGGGGGGTGATTTCTCGCTTTCTGTCTCTCTGCCTCTCTCTGTCTGCCTGGCGAGCGCATGAGCCCTATAGCAAAAAAAAAAAAAAAAAAAAACCTCTCAAAAAAAGAAAATTGCTCTCCAGTATACCATCAGTTTCATTTTACATGATATGCAATGTTTGAAATACATTTCCCCCTCGAGAGATATCATAGAGTTCAATATTGGACTTAAGATCTTGGGCATACAGGCCTAGCCACATGATGCATTGTTAGCACTCTGCTGCTTGTCAGGCTGAGGCCTGGATTTAATTCCCAGTCCAACCTAAATACCAGGCAAAGTAGTAAGCTCCTCGGGAAGCTGCCTCAGGAGGATCTTGATAGAGTGAGACTTTGTCTAGAAAAAAATATCTTAACCACACATATGGAGTAGGTCCTCTTTGCATGTGACACATCTTGATAAAATTTTTAGCACTGAATTTGGGATCTGCTCTGACCATTCCTCCATTTATTATTTTGGGTCTTTTGTTTGTGTAGTTTTTAATCCTTCTTTTGAAAAATTACATGTGAATCATGTGACTAATGCTTGTCATGCATCTCTTTTGCTTCTGCAGGAGGGATTTTTGAAACTGTGGAAAATGAACCTGTTAATGTTGAAGAATTAGCTTTCAAGTTTGCAGTCACCAGCATTAACAGAAACCGAACCCTGATGCCTAACACCACATTAACCTATGACATCCAGAGAATTAACCTTTTTGATAGTTTTGAAGCCTCACGGAGAGGTAACTATTTTCCCACTTCTAAAAGCTTTTTTGGGTGATATGTCTGCTCTACAAGTCACCTTCTTTTCACTACCTGCCCTTTTTCAAAGTGGACATATTTGTGCAAATGGGTCGCAGGAAATCTTAGTCCTCGATGTCGCTGATCAATGCAATCTGAACTAACCTAATGGATGTTACCTGGCCCTGTTTTCTGGGCTTTTCTGATTAGCTTACCCTTCAGTGCCCTCCACTCTATGATTAACTGGTTCAGCTGTGAATGGAAAATGTCAAGCTTGATCTGTTTTTCCTTCCTGAAGCTGAGATACCACCATGAAATCGTACAGCGCAGTCAAATAAAACTTTGTCGAAGGTCACATACACTGAGCATGTGGAAATGCCCATAACTCACACCCTGCATTTTAACAGGATATAAACTACTAGGTTCACCTAGCATTTTCTCAATTTTTTATTTCACTCTTCCCTCTAAAATCATAAAAATATGAAGATTAAACTTCTGAGAACAATGTCTGCATTTGATTCTCTTTTGCTTCTGAACAGAAGAGAAGCACGTATAATGTAATTTATATAAAGGATATGTGTTTCATTTGGAATTATGGGGCTTGTTTAAACATCCCCTGGACCCTACCAAGACAATTCTTTGAAGCAAGCTCACATTCAATATACAGGAAACTTGGCCTCTAACAAGGGCACTGTCTAGTCCTTAGATAAAGATGTTTGTATGGAAACAAAGACTGCTCGCACTTCAGAACAGGAGAGGTCCTTGCGTTCTAGAGGAATGTCCCCCTCTTATTAAAAACACACAAACGAGTAGAGTACAATGAATGCCGTGCTACGGTTGGTTCCCATATACCTAAATACTGTTTGATTTTCCATAGAACTAACCTTGTTAGGTGATAGGATATGTTTGCTTAATACACTCCTTTGCAAGAATTCTAGTGCTCTTTACAAACAAAATATATTTTTCCCCCTTGGAAACACAGATGAGAAAAATAATTGTATAGTGATCTTTTTCTATCCATGTCATGACATTCATATAATGTTGCTTTTAAGATGGTTGGAGTCAGAGATATCATACAGGTCAGAATTGTCTATAATAATAAACCTTGTATTTATATAGCACTTTAGAGTCTGTAAGAAGACATCTTCACATATATTATCTCTTTGGATTAGCTACATCTCCTCTCTCTCTGTCTCACACATGTACATGTGTTCATACCCACGACTGTTGACCAAATCCCATAGAAAGTCAACTATATTAAGCAATGATACTTTAGCCCACATGAAAATTGAAAGCTTTTGTTTGTGATTTGAAGTATATGCCATACTTGAAAATTAAACACCCCTAAAGCTGCTTATAACTGGTAATTTGTCAGCAAACAGAAGTCAGAAGCTTTGATTTTCTGTCAAGTAATATTAGCATCTCAAAGTCAAATATTAGCAAGGACCTCAATCCACTGCTTATGCTGGATAAAAAAACATCTCACATACTCTCACACTCTCATTTTATCTAGTTGACTAAGAAAAACATATCCAGACAGTGTGTTTCTGAGGACAATGACAATTTACACTTCCGGCATCTAATGTGCTGAACTCTACAGCTTTATGGTCTATGTGCTATGTAAGTAACTACCAAAGATCACAATAACAGGAAGTTTTCCTTGTAAATGATTCAATAGTTTGCTATCCTTTAGGTATCTGTAATAGGGCTATTGAAATTTTATGATTTTTCTCTAAATTAAATTAGATAATGTTATAGAGCCATATAGTTATTTTATTAATACTTATTTTCATTTGTAGAATAACATTACAGAAATAAATACAATTTTATTATAAATTTGGTTTTATTTCATTCTGATATTCAATTATTTTTAGAAGTTCAAAACTTCTTTAGAATAGGATTAAAATATTTGAAATATTTGGAAATTCTTTTAAACTTATATTTAATATTACTAACATAAAATTAATGAGTACTATTATACATGGCTATAGAAGAAAAACTGCTCCAATATTTTTAAAGGAAGTTTGGTTAATAAGTATCAAAGACCTTAATAATGTTGACTCACTTTTGTTATAGCTGTTAACTCCTAGAAATGTACTCTAAGAAAGTAATCAAAGGGGCCAGCAGGTGGCCTTGAGGTTAAGACGCTGGACATTCCCACATGGCTGACAATGATTTGAGTCCTGGACCTGGTGGCTTGCTTTCTCACTTTCCCTCTCTCTCTGCGTCTCTCTCTGGTCAAATTAAAATAAATGAATGAATAAACATTACAGAAATAAATACAATTTTATTATAAATTTGGTTTTATTTCATTCTGATATTCAATTATTTTTAGAAGTTCAAAACTTCTTTAGAATAGGATTAAAATATTTGAAATATTTGGAAATTCTTTTAAACTTATATTTAATATTACTAACATAAAATTAATGAGTACTATTATACATGGCTATAGAAGAAAAACTGCTCCAATATTTTTAAAGGAAGTTTGGTTAATAAGTATCAAAGACCTTAATAATGTTGACTCACTTTTGTTATAGCTGTTAACTCCTAGAAATGTACTCTAAGAAAGTAATCAAAGGGGCCAGCAGGTGGCCTTGAGGTTAAGACGCTGGACATTCCCACATGGCTGACAATGATTTGAGTCCTGGACCTGGTGGCTTGCTTTCTCACTTTCCCTCTCTCTCTGCGTCTCTCTCTGGTCAAATTAAAATAAATGAATGAATAAATAAAATCAAATAAATAATTCTAAAAGAAATCAAAGACACAGAAAAAATGTAAAAACTAAGATAAGCACTATAATGTTATTCATAGTAACACTAAATGTTAATATTATAGAAATGGTTAAATAAATGATGACACACCCATGGGATGATCTATTCCACAGACACTAAACAAATATGCTTTTGGAGAATTTGTAGCAACTTGGGAAAAAAGCATGCTGTGGTATTAAAGAAATGTATTGAACTACAGTTATATCATAATTCTAATTTTCTAATTTTCTAAAATATTAATAGATACTATCATAAGATTCTGGGACTAATTATAGGGCTTATTTTCCCCTTATATGTTAAGTATTCTAAATCCTCTCAATGAATATATGTATTCATAATGGAAAAAATACATCTATGTTATAAATTAATTTTAAAATACATTTCAACCTGATTTCATTAGACTTTATATTGACTGATATTGAAGTAGAGAGAGGCTGCCCTTACACTGGGGTCTCGCAGTTCTGATTCAATCCTGCCACTGTCCAGTGACCAGGACTCATCCCATTGTCGATGAAACGAGTAGGTTGGACCAAATACTTTTAAGATCATTTTAAGCAATGCTATCCCATTATTCTGTAATTAATTAGGCATCAGTACTGCTTATGAACATTCTGTAGTAGTATTTTAATAACCCAAAACTTCTGCTTTTTGGAAACACAGGAGCTACAGGGCTTTGCAGTAACATAGAGGGTCTTTCTTATGTATCCTGTGACAATATTAATATCTTCATTGCCATCCTGCCACAAGACAGGACTTAATTTATATGACATCATTTGGCAAATGGCTTGTTGGTTAGTCAGAGTGCTCCTGGGTAATACTATACCAAGGGATTTAGACTTTATCTGATTAAAGGTAATGAAGTGAGACCAGCAACTCATTTTTATTTGCAGGGAGTTGCCTCTTTGATGTATTGCTAATGAGTTCTACATTTACATCTATCAGTATCTAAATACCTTATGAATATTGGAAGCTGAACTGGGCATCTTCCCTCAACATACACATAGGAGCGTAGGAGATTTTCCCACAAAGAAATTGAAAAGAGGAATTGTGATGAAAATGTTAAATTCATAGATCTCTCTCTCTCTCTCTTTTCTCTGCCCATGCCTGGCCATTTCCCCCTTGACTTTGGACATCAGCTTGTGACCAGCTGGCTCTTGGTGTGGCTGCTCTCTTTGGCCCTTCCCATAGTTCCTCCGTCAGTGCTGTGCAGTCTATTTGCAATGCTCTGGAAGTTCCACACATCCAGACCCGCTGGAAACACCCCTCAGTGGACAACAAAGACTTGTTTTATATCAACCTCTACCCGGATTATGCAGCTATCAGCAGGGCTGTCCTGGATCTGGTCCTCTACTACAACTGGAAAACAGTGACCGTGGTATATGAAGACAGCACAGGTATGGGACACGCCCAAGACCTCACCTGGCCATGCTGGATTTGAACAAAGTGAACCAAAGTGTAGTGCCTGAAATTTATTTCTTATAGGAAGGTAACTGAGCATCTTAAAGTAGTTTAGGAATGCCATGGGTAACTAATTCAAGTTCTTTTTTGTTTCATTGATCTGTTCTGGTGATCTTCTAATTATCAAACTTAAGGGTGTTTCTTTTTTTTTTTTTTTAAGGAATAGCATCTTATTAATATTTGTTACAACCCAATTATAGATTACATGGACTACATGGAAAGACTATAGAATGTGATTCTAACTTGATAAGAAGCTATAAAAATGTCTAGAAAAGCTTCAGAATAGGTTAACAAAGATAAATTCCATCAGAGGTTGTACCAATAAAGTGAACCATTTTGTAGGAAAAGAACTGTGTACCCTTACCAAAGCTTTTGTTTTCCCACCTGTTTGTTCAGAATATAGAGTAGGAATATGGTAGTGTCTGCCCTCATCAGGCATATGCTCTGACCCAAGCCTATTCGAAGTTTTAGTGCCACCTCCCCCCTCTGCTTTCTGCTTACATGTTAGAATTTGTTGGAGTTCACGTCACTTTTTCTTTACTTTGAAGTTAGCGGGCGACTCTCCATTGTCCACATAATACCAAAGACTTTTTGTTCAAAGTTCCTAAGCCTTCAGCCATCTTTGTCTTCATTAACCCAGGTTCTAGCTTCCCCTCACTGCCTGTCCTCTCACATTAGATACAATGAAGATTCTGGTATTTCCTAAATACTCACCAGTTCCTTCTAACTCTTCTTTTCCAAGGGTAGCCCTTACTTTGGCAATCCTTGCCCAGTCCTGCAGAAGCTGAACACCATCATTCCCTTGATCACACGCAATATTTACCTACCCCTTTATGAGCCCTCAGATTACCAGAGGGTTCAATGCCATTTTGGAAATAAAAGCATTGTGTCATTTACTCCCTTTCAATGATCAATGTCTATGAAACTAGACAGTTCTGAAAATTGGAATCATATCATAATTCTATTTTACTATGTTGCCTAGCATATAGGAATGTGCTTAGGAATTTCATGTGGAAGAAATAATGCCATCAGAATGTTTTTTTTTCTCCAAGAATTTAAATTAGTTCTTTCTTTGATCTACACATTTGGTAGATCAAATTACCAGTGAAAATTAATAGAGAGAAGCACTTTCAACCTTTTAATACTACTTCACTTTTCACTGCCCCTTTCCTCAAATGTTAGCACTTACTATTCCCTGAAGAGTGAATAGTGCACCTCCTCTTTTGGCATTAAACTCTGGTTCTGTTTTATATTGTCAGATAAAATGACTATTATGGTTGGAAATACGCATCTATGTATTTTCTTATACCTCATCTCATTTTAGAAAGAAGTGACAGTAAGTTCCTGGATAGATAGGTTATAAGTATTAAATTAAAAGCAGTTCTACTGAGAACGATAAGCTACAGACATTTTTTTCTTTTTTGAAGAGTTTCTTTGCTGTAGGGTGCATGCGCTCACCAGAAAGACAGAGAGAGAGAGAGATAGAAAGTGAGAAATCAGCCGCCAGGGGGATGCCCACGCTGTAATCCCTTCTCTTTCATTCTCCTTTGGGGATCTTGGGCATGCATGCACATGTGCCTGGCGTGAGTTTAAGCCACTGGGTCTGGGACTCGAACTGCTGTCGACTACATGGGAGTTCAGCGACATAGCCATTATGCTAACTGTTGGTCCCCAATGTATTTTTTTTTCATACTTCTAGTTTCTTTTGCTTGTTGTGAAGGAAGAAACAAATTATCAAATGAACTCCACAAGCACATTAAAAGAGCCTTCAGCTTGAATATTGTATTATAAGCATAAGTGTAGTGAAGTCTTCCATGTTGCCTACTTTAGTTAAATAGAGAATTTCATGAGCTGATAAAAATCATACTATCTCTCATTATGTTTTACTCTGTAAAGTCTAATCTTCTGTTACTATTTCTACCATCTCCAGCAAAGCAAAAACTTCTAAAAGGAAAACACATTAATAAATTTTAGTTAAATATCTGGATTTAATTTCAAAAATATTTCAACTAGACCTGTGGGCATTGTAGATTTCAAATGGTATCCCTTGAAAATATTAAAAGCAGATAAGATAATACAGAAAATCGAATATCAGATGTAAAAATAAAATCGGTGGCCTAGAAAAATCCACCTGGGAGACTGAAAAAATTGCTCTCAAAATTAGAATAATATATGAGAAGTACTAGATACCATCAAACATCCAAACATCCAGACTATTGATATCCCAGAAGGCAAAGAGACTAATAAGGGCATTGATAATCTATTCCATCAAATAGTATTTAGACAAATACTAATTAGTACTAATTAGTATTTGTATCAAGTAGTATCAAATAATATTTAGACAAATACTAATATAAATCTAATTAGTAAAAGAATGACAGAAAACATGGTGTCTTAACTACTCTGTCACTTCTGGTGAACTACCCATAAGTAATGACCATTTTGCACAGAAGGAAAATCAAACTATCATTTTTTTTTTTGAGAGGTTTTTGCTATAGGGCACATGCACTCACCAGAAAGACAGAGAGGAACAGATAGCAAGAAATCACCCCCCAAGGGGGATGGCCACACCACAATCTCTTCTCCTCCATTCTCTTCTCGGGATCTTGGGCATGCACACACACGTACCTAGTGAGAGTTTTAAGTAACGCGGTTGACTACATGGCAGTCCAGCGACGTACCCATCACACCATCTGTTGGTCCCATCTGTTATTTTTTTCCCCAGAAACTGAGAAGTTCTTTTCAGCCATAAGTTCACCTGAGTTTAGGTACTCACTAGATATTAGATACTGAAATTAAAAATCCAAAATAATTTTGTATGTTGCTCGTTAACTTTGAGATGATTCATGTGAAAATGATTTTACCCACAAAGACAAAAAAATAGTAGATGAATAATCAATTGAACCATTAAATTGGAACCCAGAGAGTAAACAGGTCAACAGAGATCAATAAGAACAGACATGTAGTGACCCTGACTGAGTTTAATACTGCTTGACTCAGGGTTCTTGGTTGCAGCAATTATGAAGCCATAAAAAGGAAGAAACTTTGTAAACCTGAAGGAAAAGAAAGGCCTTAGGTGTGCTCAGCACCCACCCCTCTGCACAGCAGAATTAAGTACCCATTAAAAGTGCTTAATTGGGATTTGCTAGGAGCTTGTTAAATAGCCTGAAGCCAGCCCAGATGTCGTGGGACCAAATGGCCCATTACTCCCATTGAAGTCAAGGGGAGCAGTGTGTATGTCTCTAAGGACAAAACAATTCACTAAATACTAGCAGGCAGTGTCCTCTAGAAGTTAAAACATAGAAAGACTGCAGAGAACTCTTTGGAAGAGTCAAGTTTCGTCTCGCCTCATATCCTCTCTTTCCTAGATGTTCTTCCAGCCAGTCACCTACTTGTGTCTGACTCCCAAGTTCTGAGGTAACACTAGGCCGTGCGAAATTGCTGTCCATTAGACATCTCCTCTGCTTCATTAGCCCCCTGGTGGAAGCCTCGCTTTTATTGCTTCATACACATCAAAAAAGAGCTGAGATGCTGAGCACCAAATGCGCAGAGTATATTCAGTAGTTTCTACTATCTCAAGACCAAGCTCAGTGAAATGTAGCCACAGTCATTTCTGTAGAACAGGAGCCCACAAACTTTTTCTTGATAAAGAGCCATATAGTGCCCAGCTTGGGCTTTGTCGGCCGTGAGGTCTTGGTCACTGTTACTGTCCTCTGCAAGAAAATGACCATAGACAATGTGTCAATAAATGGACATGATATATTCCACCAAGCCTCTGTTTAGGAAGTATGTGCTGCAACACATTTGGCCCAATGACTTAATAGAAAAGAAAAAGAAAAGGAAAAATTTAGCTAAAATCAGGGACATATAATTTTGTAAAACTCAGAGCCAGACTACAAACATGAAGTGGGCTCAGCTCATATACACAACTCTTCCTTTGTTTCAGTTTTCAGGTTTTCACATTCTCCTCCTTCCTCCTCACCTGTCTTTTCTGGTTTCCTTATCAATACCTGCTAGACCTTTGTCTCATTCTTCCTAGACTTTGCCAGGTCACCTACTGGATCGTTTGATAAATTTTCAGAGAGGAGTTGTAGGGGCGAAAGGCGTGATACCTTTCCTCACTCATAGGGCTCATGGCCAACACTTCTATAATAAAAGATAGATTAGCAAGTGAAAAGCATAAGAAATGTATTTAATCAAAATTGAATATACACAGGATTCTTCAGAAATGAAGACCCAAAGACCCAGGCAAAACTGCCTATTTTTACCCTTAGGTCCAGGTGAAGAATGGACAAAAGCGAATGATCTAATGCTAATATACTTAGGTAGGAAACCCAGGAGAGTCTGTCTGTTCAGATTCTTTTTGGCCCCTCTTTGAGGCATTTCTTCTTCTTGGATATGGGAGCAAGACCCCTCTGGAACAGAGTCTTCGAAGTAAAAGGAAGAATGGAGAAGTGGCATATCTTAGTTTTATGACTTGGATTGAGCAAGAGGAGTCCTAGTTTTTCTGTCCCACTTTGCAGAAGAGGAATTCTTGTTTCTATGACTCTCTTCAGGGAGAAAGATGAATGAGAGACAAGAGGGCAAAGGAGGTTACAAAGTCCTTGCTTCTGAGACACTTTGAATTTTCTTGAGCTGAAAATATGGCATGGCAAGGTTCTATACTTTGGGGTATTATGTCCTGAGCCCCCATAGTGTTAATAGGTAATAATGCCTCTAAGCGTTGCCTAGTACTTTCAACTGATTATAGCACATTTGAAAGTTGGCTTCCTTAAAGGTAGTGAGAGCACACACATTGCATGCCAAGGAAGATGGGATTTCAAAGTGCTCAGTTACACTTGGTTAGGTTGCCACCTACACAGTTAGCACATGCAGTGGCTTCCAAATAAGCAAGTGTTAATCCAAATTCCATTGGAAAACATTAAAAAAAAAAAAT